TACTGAGCTGAGATTTGACATGCATAGCCTAGTCTACTTCCCATGACTAAGCTGCCAGTGTACATTAAACTCACTCCAACACTTCAGCTGACAGTTCGGCCGTCGTTACCCTCGATGTCCACCGTGTGTTCCACAGCAGGTTGAGAGCAGGCACGGCGATTCGTGCGTGCTTTAGTTTATGGTGAATGTAGACTGGCGCAGCATCCACTGCGTCCTTTCCTCCCCCACCTGGACCTGATGTCAAGATAGTCAAAAAGACCGGTGGGAGAGGGCGCAGGTGGCTGGCATTACTGGAACCGCCCCTAGGCGTGCCGCAACGCTCGGTTCGGATCTCACTACGTGGAAGTGTCGTATAGGCCACATTACAAAGGAGCCATAGCAGCCTTACTCTCAGACCACCAGCCGACCACACACGCAGCATTTCGACCATCGTTGCCGACAATGTCCACCGTGTGCTCCACAACAAGGTGGAGCGGGGACGGTGAATTGTGCGTGAACTGGTTTATAGTGATAGTGGACTTGCGCAGCATCTACCGCACTTTCATCCCCCACCTGGGCCCGGCGTCAAGACATAGTTCAGAAGGCCTGAGGCAGGGGAGTACGGAGGTGGATGGTACGGTCGCGTCCGCGCCTTGGCGTTTCAATTCACACCCCTTGGCTCACACAGCAAATGACCAGTGGGAGTGTCATAAAGGCCACATTAAGGAGTCCTTGTAGCCTAACTCTTCGAGCACCAGCCTACTACTCCATACAAACGCACAACACTGGGCCGACTTCGAGGTCCAAGTTGCCTTGTCAGTTGGCAACCTCCCAAGCTGCGGCTTTTAGCGCACCGTGATAGCTTCAAGCGCGCCAGGTTGTTTCTAGTGTGGAAAGTGCGCTGACTCGTAGACTTCTATTTCCATTCCCAGGCCCCAATCACTGTCCCAGCCTGTCAGTTGGTAGGTGTGGCGAATGGGCGCGGTGACTGACATCGAGTGGCCTTGTTTGCGCACGCCGCATGCACGACGGAGACGATGGTTGGTTCAGTCCGGTGCTCAAGTTGGTCAAGAGGCGTCCGCCATTTCAAATGGTGCCCAGAATGTCCGTTGACACCGCGGACACGTTGGAGTCGGTTGGGTGTTGGCCTTGTGAGGCGGCGGCGGCAGTTGATATTTGCGTGTCTTGCGTTTCGCTTTGGTGGTGGCGACGCAGGTTGCTTCATAGATCGCTGCCCTTGTCCTTACTGTCCTCCTCCAGGTCGGTCTCGGACTAGGTCCTCCTAGTTGGCCGGGTTGATCTGCAGACGTTTCAAGGAAGTCTTCAGAGTGTCCTTCTATCGACGTACCTTACCTCCTTGCCGGAGTGAACCCGTGGTGACATCTCCATGGAAGAGTCGCTTGGGTAGCCGCTCGTCGTACATCCGCACGAGGTGGCCGCACGAACACAGGTACAGCTGTCTCCGCATGGCGTAGATGCTGAGAATTTCCGCCCGCTCCACCACATCCGTGTCCGAGATCCGGTCCTGCTGTCTCAGATTCAGTATCCCTCAAAGGCAGCTGAGTCTTCGCGCCTGCTTCTTGTGCGTCATCCAAGGCTCCGCTCCATATAGCAACGTCGGTAGAATGACGGCCTTGCAGATCTTCAGTTCGGTGTTGAGATGGAGACGGTGGCCATTCCAGACTATTTTAAAGGCCAGAAAAGGCTTGGCTGGCTTTGGATATCGGCAGGTCACTTCATCGTCGATCGTCATTGTGCGGGAGAGGCTGCTGCCCAGGTAGGTAAAGTTGTCCATGACTTGCAGTTGGGCGCCATTCACATTGATTTGGGGTGTGAGGAAGGTAGCGTCGGTTAGCGGTTGATGCAAAGCCACCGTCTTCTCAGTGATAATGATCAGACCGAAGTTGTCACAGGCGAAGGCGAAGAGATCCATGCTCCTATGCATGTCTACTTCAGTAGTTGCATCGAGGGCCAGTCATCGGCGAACAGAAGTTCGTGGACGGTGGTCGTGGATACACGCGACTGGAGGTGCATCCGCCGATGTTTGGGGCGTTGACCGTCCGCCCTGTAGGCGATGCAAATCCCAAAGTTTTCTTCACGGTAGTAGTCCATCAGCATGGCGGAAAACATGAGACTGGATAGGGTAGGCGCGAGGATGCAGCTCTGCTTCACTCCGTTGGTCACTGGGAATGCCTCTGAGACAGCTCTATTTTCCGTGACTCGCGCCATCATGTCATCGTACAGCTGACGCACCATCTGAGTGAATCGGATCAGATGAGATCAGATTTATTAAGGGAAAGGAAGGCGAGCGTCTTTGAACTCCCTTTTG